CGCTGTTCCCACACCTGACCTGCGTTACCCAGACTGAGCCGCTATGAGGCTGTTCCAATGGGGCCATGAACCAGTAGCATTAACATCACCTGAGAGTCAGTTAGAAATGCTGCATCTCAGCTCCATTCAAGACATACAGAATCACAGTCTGTACTTTAGCAAGATCCCAAGTGTGGTATGTGCATGCATGAGTGGGTGCTCTTGAGCCAGGAGACTGAGCATATAAGAGCGGCATCACAGAGGATGGGGCACAGCAGTAATGGATGGGAGGTGGAAAGGACCGTGCAGTGGAGAGCAGCAAAGAGACCACAATAGAATGCCAGAGTGCCCAGAAAGAATAAAGATTCACCTGGAGATAGGAGGCCTGCCAGCCTCCTGGCCCCTGAACCCCATGCCTGCCCTGCACTCAGTTGCCTCACTACAAATGGTGTAGAAAAATCACTAAAAAACTGAAAAAGCCACTGAGGGCTCCAGCTCCAGGCTCTCTTTTACCCATCTGCCCGAATTAGAGAGAATCTACCCTGTGCCTTGCTGGAACTTCACCAGGTCACTGCAGTGAGCATATTTTTCTCTGCCCATAGCTATCCCCACCACTGCCTCCTCCCACCAATATCTTCAACTCCCCCATGCAATAGACCTGGGCAGTTTTGCAAGCATGCACAGGGTGGGCAGACTCACTGTTAATTCGGGCAGATGGAGAGTCCGGAGCCCTTGGTGGATTTTAGAGGCTTTAATGCTCTCAGGGAACCAGGTTCACAGGCACACCAGGCAGAGGCTGGCATCCAAGGAGGAAGGCACAGGCCAGGCAGGGGGGTTGGCAGGGGGCCAGGAGGCCCAGGAGGCAACAGGGCCTCCCAGCCCCTCATGAATCTGCGCTTTCACTCTCTGGCCTCTCTGGCATTGTCAGTCTTGCATGGTTTTGTGGTCTTGCCTCATTGTGTTCCTCCTCATAGCACTGCCCCCGCTGCCTTTACGCCTCTCCTTAGGCATAGGCGTGAGCATTTATACATGCCCACACCATGCTCTCTGGGCCCAGGTGTCATAGACACGCGTGCCCCATGCCACGCCCCTTGGCCCAGGCATCCATGCCACCTAGGAGTGCCAGACCACAGATGGTAACCTGCCAGAAGCGTGGTGGAAGGGCAGAAAAAAAGCCTGGTAATTTCATTTATCCTACAGGCATATCTACGTCACAGCAGAAGAAATACCTGATGCTGAAGCCTGAGGTGAGCACTGCTCAGGATGACTCATCAGCTAAGCACTGCTTCCCGCGATGCCTCCTTCACAGCCCTTCCGGAAAGCAAAGCCAACTGCACATCCATTTCTCTCCCCACTCTCTCACCCCCGGTGCCCTACCTGGAGCGCTGCACGGAAGTGCTGACTGTCCAAATAGTATAACAAGGTGATAGCTTCGTATGTGAGGGAGCACTCCCCTCATCCAGACAGACCCCCGGACTCTGTCATTTGTCCCCCACGTCACCTCCATGGAGAGGCCATTCCAGAATACTTGGTGTCCTTTCGAAAATACAGGAGAGGACAAATCAACTTGTGCACTGCTTTGCTTGTGTCTGTTGGAGCCTCATCTTCATCTATTCCATCTGACTCTTGCTGTTTACCATACCCCACCTCCCAGCCCCACCACCCCTGTGTGCTTGACTAGGAGCTCTGCAGTGGCTGCATCCATGTCTCTCTCTTGGTCTCAATTTGTCACTGTTTCTCTCTTGATTTCAATTTCCCCATCAGTGAAGTGGAAAGCTGATCTCTAAGGTTGTTCATATCTGACATTCTGGGCAAGAATAACAAATGATTTCTAGTCCTTGGAAGGAAGGGGATGGCAGGGTTGGGGTCCCAGGAGAACAGATTGTGGTCGACCCAGAGCTAAGGACTGACCGGAGTTGAGAGGAAGGAACAAGCTAGAGGAGAGGCCTGGGGTGTATGGAGGAGGGGCCTGATGGGTGCAAAGCCATCAGGTGTCTCCCTCTGTGCTGAGCTGGGGGAGCATCTGCAAGCAGGGTAGCAGAAAGTGCTATAGCAGGGGCTCAGCGCTGGCTTCTTGTGTTTCTAGAAAGCCCACTCTTAGTTCCTCTCTCTTCCACCCCTGACACTGAATGGGAGTCTAGGGTGATGACAAAGTTCCCAGGGGGATGCCAGTTGGAGGGGTCATCCTATTGGGAGGAAGGAAGAAAGGATTATTCACCAAGAGGAACTTTTCCCTTCCCCTTGACTTGAGGGGGAGAGACTCCCCAGGGAGTAGGAGATTCTGAGGAGCAGCAAAACCTTAACTCTGCTTCCCCCACCAGCTCCCCGGGCCTTTCCCTTTTATGTCCCAAACAAGGTCCCCTGGCAGGCCTGCTGCTGCTGAGTTCCCAGCACTGCTCCACATGAGCCATCCCTGGCTCCGGGCCCAGCATTTAGAACGCAAGCTCCAGCCAAGTGCATTGTTTTTCATGGAATCCGGGAACTTCCAAAACTGCTTCAGAGTGGGAATTTCCATTAATTTCTCTTACACTGTCACACTTACCTCCCAGCTAAAGGGATCACCTCCTCGTGACAGCAGGAGAGGGGGTAGCTCCTCTCTTCCAGCAGAATTTCTCTTCTGATTCATGGACTTTCACTGTCAGTTGTCATCTGAAGTCTGGCACTTTCCCCCCAAATGGAGCAGAGTCAGAGCCTCAAATACCCAAAATCTGTCTAAATGCTCAAAAAGCTGGGAAGATTTTCTGCATGCCCATGAGAGAGTTGGTTTCCCTCTCTGGGATATGTTTTTCTCCCATAAAAAGAGGATGTTGGGTTACCCCACCCCTCCAGTCCTTGGTTCTAGAATATTAGGAGAGATCAAATCTCTCCTGAGATGTGGCTGAATGCTGAAAGGGAGGTGAGCAGTTTAAAGATCTCTTTATCTTTGATGTTGTTCACCTAGATGAAGGCCAAGGAATGACTGGATTCCATGGGGGAATGAGATGTGACCCTTCAGGTCCACAGAAAAGGCTGCCCTAATGGGTTTCAGAGGGGCCTCATTAATATGAGCAAAAACCTCCTGGAAGTTAAACCAAGATGGGCTGGGAAGAAATGAGTGAAGTGGCTCAGAATCTACTCCTGAAGCATCGCACCCATACAGTAAGAATGGAGTCAGCCACTGCAGAGCAGCTAGTCAAGCACATGGGGGTGGTGGGGTTGGGGGTGGGGTATGATAAACAGCAAGAGTCAGATGGACTAGATGAAGGTGAGGTTCCAACAGACACAAGCAAAGCAGTGCACAAGTTGATTTGTCCTCTCACATATTTTCAAAAGGACACCCAAGTGTTCTGGAATGGTCTCTCCATGGAGGCTCTGCCCTCATACTCTCTAGGAAAATACTATCAATCAGAAAACATTAAGCCTAGAGCCTGAGAGTGAGGATTCTGGAATCAGAGTGTCATGGAGCTCTCAGCCCCAGCTGTTATTACCTGTGAGATTCTGGACAATTTACTTACCTTTGGTTGCCACCTATGGAAAGTTGGGTTGTGTGCAGGACTAATCAGACAGTGCTGGCAAGTAGCTTGGCATTTGTCTGGTCCTGGATAAGCACTCAATAATACTTATGCCTTTTCTTTGTTGGTCCTTCCCTCTCACTATGAATCAGACACAGTAATTTGAGCACATAGCCCATTTCTTACTACAGATGTAGTGACTGCCAAGTGTTCCTCCCAAGACACTACGTGCATTTGATAGATAGTGTCTCAATGACTCTTTAAGAAAGAAAAGTTACTGGATCTTCCCATGCCCCTCAGGCAGAAGTACAGCAGAAATGCGAGGCAGTGGTTGTGGGGAGTCAAAACACCTCAATTCTAGGCTTAGCTCAGTCACTAATAAGCCTCAAGGCATCTCATTATATGTATGAAAGGAAAGAATGTACTGAAATGAATGCTCAATTATTATTACTATGATTTATAACTGTATGTTGTGGTTTTAGAAGCAACCTAAGGCAGTCGAAAGCAAACATTCTAATTCCTGTAACACTGGCTCTGTTCTCTCTGGCTGCCTGGAAGAACAGCTGGAGACACACTTCTCGCCCACTGCTGTCTGCTGCACTAACTTCAGTCTCCAATTCCATAGTGACTTACACAAGGAATTTCTCAATTCCCCATTAGGTGCCTGCTGATTTGGAAGATGACTGAGGACAAAGGATACCCGCTTATGTGACCAAGCAGCCAGGTAGAGGACAAGTGCATGTTTCATATGGAAACATGTGGTAGTGGTGACGGAACAGGCTCTGGGTTCTGCTCAGGGACCTCGCGTAGGTTACTCCATCCTTCTATGCCTAGCTTGTCTTATCTATAAAACAGGGATTAATAATACCCACCAAACAGGGTTCGGAGTTCAAAGACTGAGCATTTTTAAAGGGCTTTGAATCTTCCTGGCACAGCCAAGTCCTGTATGAATATTACATGGAATTTCTTTTGTAGCACTCCATGGTCTATATGGCTTCTTCATAATTTGTAGAATTTGGTTCTACAGTGCTGCTGTTAAACTTCAATTGTGCCACCACTCTGTGTTGTAAAGAGCAGTTGGCTTTAATATGCTGCTGGGGAGCCCGCCAAAACTTCAAGGTCCCTTCTTGGCTTGAAGGACCCTTGGGCTGTTCCTTGAAGATAGAGCAGGGGTGAGCCCTTGAATGCTTTCATATCCTTTGTAACCTCTGTATCCTCACTTTCTTTTCTGTGGCATTTCACTTCCAAGAAAACAATCCTTAAGAATTCCTGGCTTTTTCATATTTGTGGTCATATTAGACATAATTCCACCCCATTCCTTCCACTTCTTTTCAACAGTGAATAGAAAAAGTGCCCAGTCCTAGTGGCACACTACCACTTCCCTCTCCTACTTCCTGAATTGGTTCCAGTGTACTATTCTTGCTCAGCACATTCAAGATTCCACTTCGTCATTCTTTGAAGATACTGCTGCCCTGGGCCAAAATTTCAGTGATTGCTCCACCCCTTGACTTCTAATAAAAGGCAGAGACAGAGCTGTCAGACAGAGAGGCTGAGACAAACTGGGACACCGGCTACTCTCAGGCTACAGCTGCCATCCTCACCCTCCAGCATGAAGGCCTCCGCAACCCTCCTGTGTCTGCTGCTCACAGCTGCCACCCTCACCACCCAGGTGCTCGCCCAGCCAGGTAAGCCCTTTTCTCTGCCCCTTTAAACACCTCCCCTCATCTCTGGGTTAGCAGGGGCCACCAGAGCAGAAGGGGTACCCACAGTCTCACCCTGACCACTGCTTAGTCAAGCTCAGAGAAGGTCAGAGAAGCATGTGAGCTGATCATACAGCTGCTGCTGGGCAGTCTGGACAAGAATGCAGGCTGTGCATCCCAAATCCTGTTCCTTCCAGGACTCCAACTCTGCAAATGCACCCTCAGTGCACATTCTGGGCTGGCCCCTTTCAGCAGTGTTTGGGCACTGCTGGGAGTGATCAAAGACAGGGAACCTGTGGTGTTGGGTAAGGGGGCAAAATTTGCAATGGCAGAAGGACAAGGAATAGACCCAGAATCTGGACAGCGCTTCATTCAGTCCAGAGGCAGCGGGTGGCATGGAACTTTTTGTCCAAGTTAGATTGCTCAGAGCCCATAAGGGGGTCCACAGCTGGGTTCCCTGTTCTGATCTCCCTAACCCTGATAATTAGCTCCCCCTAATGACATTCTCAGATGCTATTAATTTTAACAGCTCCCCTGCCCTCTGTTTAGTCTCAATGTCATGTACCCATTTTACAGGACAGGAAACTGAGTCAATACAACATTCTAGCTCTGGGGCAGAAATATGGGGTAGAATGGCTTTTACCGCGACTTCCTCCCTTTGCCTTCCCATGACTATCATGACTATTCTTTTTGCTCTGAATAAGATACTTAAAAAGTCTACCAAATCCTAAAGTGCTTTTTCTTTGTGATTTCATTTCCAGATGCAATTCATTCCCCGGTCACCTGCTGCTATCATTTCACTAGCAAGAAGGTCCCTATGCAGAGGCTGGTGAGCTACGGAAAAATCACCAGCAGCAAGTGTCCCAAAGAAGCTGTGATGTGAGTTGAACCTATCAGCCACCAACCAGCCCACCCTGGTCCATTTTCTAAGCCTCACAAACTTAAGAGATCTACCAATACCCTAAGGTGCCCAGTGGGAAACCTGAGACCACCAGAGAAAATGGGGCTCCTGACCTCACTCTCTATCTGGGTGCTATTCAGGTCATGCCAGTTTCTTTAGCCAGAAGTCAGGATGGCTCCCACTGGGACTTCCATAGGAGCAGCTTGCCCTGGGTGTCCTCTTTCCACCTGATGTCCTCCTCTAGTTCCTCCTCTAGTTCCTGCTTCTTGGGGCACATTGGGCTGCACACCTAGGCTGAAATCTCAGTGGAATTCCATCTAATTATGTCCTTTCCCACCTCAGCTTCAAGACCAAACTGGATAAGGAGATCTGTGCTGACCCCAAGCAGAAGTGGGTCCAGGATTCCATGAAGCAACTTGACAAGAAAACTCTGAAGCCTTTAACAACTCTGAAGCCTGTAACACTCACTGCCCAGAACTCAAGAAGCTAATTTATTGTCTTTTAACTTTCCCTAGATGCCCTCTGATATTTTATTATAATTTCAAATAGTATCAACTTTGTTTATTGATGTAACATGGCATCTTAAATAGTGTTAATCGTATTTAAGTTATTGATGTTTTAAGTTTATCTTCCACGAACACTAGTGTCTGTTACATTAAGAGACTTGCTCTCCTTTGTGAACCTCAATTCTTCCCCGATATGATACGGGGTCCTGATAAGGGTCATTAATACATTTTTGTTTTAAATTTTGAGGCATTTCTAAAAGTGATATTGTGGAGATGTTTGTATTATGTAACTAATAAATTATATATATATTTTTGTACAAAACCTGACTTCTGGTCTTTTCCTGAAGGAAATTGAAAAGCTAGATTAAGCTTGGTGACAAGGGGGGAACATGGCTTTAGGGGGTGGGACTTGTGTTTTGGAGATATAAGAATGTGGATTAGCCCTGGTGGGTCCTAGAAGATGGGTTCCTCTGAGAGCCTATAGAAAGCTCTTGAAGGCAGGACCAAATCTGGAACTGAGCCACAGTCACCCCAGCCCCCAGTACAATCTGCCCAGATCCTAGCAACCCTTATCACCTAGCTAGCAACAGCCCAGCCCCCCTTTCTTTTCTCATAGCCACTGATCCCTGCCTGAAAGGCCTCCCATGATCTAGCTCAACTACCTGCCCCCAAACTCTCCACCTACAATTAATCCTCTTACATGGAATAATAAAAACCCTGCAGACATTGGGAAATCGGGAAACACTTAATGTCTATTGACAAGTTGGTTAGATTAAGATATTACATGGAGGATAAGACTTGAGCTTATCCTTGGTAAATGTATGAGATCTTCCTTTAAAATGGCAGGATCATTGAGAAAAAGTAGAAGAAAGAATGGGAACAAACACTTAGAGATGGTCTCTTATACAGTGAAGAGGGAAAAAGCAATCTGAGAGTTGGGGTTCACATCTGTGTCAAGTGATGGGCAAGTTTGGAAAAGAAGGTTGAGTAAAGGGCTGGGAGTGTCAGGATGGTAAGTTAGTACTCAATGCCCCAGGTTAAAATGTGTGGGCCAATGAGGAAGAATACAACATATTTAGATTTTCATGGAATATAAAAGTATTGGCTGTGTGTAGACCTGGAGAAGGGAGAGGCCTCCCAAGAGGTGGCTTTGGAGAAAATGAAGTAGGCAGTGGGAGATACTGAGTGTTGTACATGGAGAAAGACTTGGGATCTGGTACAAAAGCCCCTTCTTCAGCCTACATTTTATAGGAACAGTTTCCCTGAATCCAGAATGAACTTCTCTCCTTCACTATCCCCCCATCCCAATCCCAAGAGCTGGAGACCATCCATTTGGATGGGGTTGAGGTCTCTTTCCTGAAGGTCCAATTAAGATATTCCCTGGCAGGACACTGACCCACCTTGACTCACGAGGCACAGGCAGCCCCTCACTGAAGGATCCATTGCTCTCTTGAATAAATTCTGCAAGATACTCCTCTGCCCATTCTGGTGGGGAGACAGCAGCTGTATCAGGCTAGACTGGCAGCTGGGGAGAACCCTAGTTGGCTTACAAGAAAGACACTTGGAATCCAATTCTAGAAGAACCCTTGGCTCACTCTGTCACTTAAGGCAGGTTGAGTATTCGGAGTCTCCATAATGAAATGGAATGATATTATGTTATGAATAGGAACACAGTGGACCCTAGGCTTGGAGACATGGGGGTGTGCCTTTGGGAAAACTACCATTCCTACCAGCAGGAGGTGAGCTACCAGAAAGGGGAATCTGCTCCCATGCTCCTGGTGTCCAGGGTCCCTGATTTAGGCTGAGGGGTTCCATCAAAGCTCCAAGTAACACTCCCCAAGTGCCATGATATAGCTGTAAGCAGACCAATTGTTGGCAGCTATTTAGGGCCCATTGACCCTCATGCTGAGCTCCCCACCCCTCCTTTGCTCCTCCTTAGCTTTGTGGGATCAAGGACAGGATGCCCCAGGATGTGCCAGAGAAGCATGTGGATTACATTGAACTGAAGCCAGTTAAAAAAGAACAGATCCAAGAATGTTGTCCCTAAAACAGCAGGAAAGAAATCTTGATAGTGATCCTGGAGGTGAGAAATAGCTCCATCCCAGATAAGAACTTGCAAGGTCTGTTTTTTTTTAAGATATGTAGATAACCATGTACAATTCCTTTCTTTAAACCTCAAAAATTTTTGGTGTCTTTTCTTCTCATGTTGTATTACCCCTTTAAAACAATTATGTAACCTCTTTAGAATAACCAGATGATGGGGTTCATATTCTATGGGCCCCTGTGCACACATCATCCAACTTTGACTGTTGCTAATATCACTTGTGTTCAAGTCACTTCTTTTCTAGTCATATGTACCTAGATGGGGAGAGGAAGATTCACTTCCTCCCAGTAGCCTTGATAATCCATCTGGAGTAAATTTCAAACTGTAGTTGATCCCAGTTGGCAAAAGGGTAGAGGAGTGTAAGGAAAGGGGACATCACCAAAGTAGTCTTCTGAGTACCACCCCCTCTAATGCTCACCCTCCCTTTTTAAGTTTCATTTTCTTTTCAGGAAATCTTGAATCCATTTTGCCCCCAGCTAAGTGGAGGGAGTCCTTACTCTTTGCACATAAAACTGTGAACACAAAGCACTGGACACTGGCCAATTTGAAGAAAGGAATCCTTGTGTATTCCTGTCCTGTTGCTGCCAAGTCTGTTCCGGGAAATTCAGACTTTTTCTCTCATGCTCAAAACTCCAAAGCCTTGTTTATGTTTTTTAATAGTTTTTACGACAACACCTACTTCCAATTACCAAAAATCTGCATTCTTGTTGCTTTTATAATACATTCTCATAGACTTAGTGGTTAAAAATAAGATAAATATATCATCAGCATACAGTACTGTGGATGAAGTCTAAAACAGTCAGAGGGGCTGAATTTCTTCTCGAGATTCTAGGACAAAGCCTGTTTTCTTGCCTTTTTCAACTTCTAGAAGCTATCCATACTCCTTAGCTCCTGGCCTCCTTGCTCCGTCTTCAAAGACTCTCTTCCTCTTTCTCTTTCTTTCTCAATGATTTCCTCTTACTCTACTCTTTGCTCTCCCCACTTCTGTCTTCACATCTTGTCCCTTATTCTGACCCTTCACCCCCTTCTTACAAGGGCCTTTGATTATATTGGGTCTATCCAGATAATCTAGGATAATAATCTAACCATCAAAAAATCCTTAAATGAATCAACCTTTGCTTCTGAAAGGTAATATATCAAAAATTGCAGGCTAATATTAGGTTAGGATGTGAGCCTCTTTGAGAGGGGTCATCATTCAGATTACCAGAGCTAGGAACCAAGCAAAGCTTAAACAGGCACCATGATCTGGCCTTTGAGATATGGATCTGATGGGGTGTGCAAAACTCCAGGTAACCTTGTGCAAATCATTTTTCATCTGTAGACCCATTAGTTAGTTGGGGACTTATTTTCTTGCATCAAATATTTCCTAAGTTTCTTGTGCATCAAAGTGATCCCCAGTGCATCAATATGTCCTCAAAGATTATGAGCTAGGGCAGTGGACTGGGAGAAGGCTTCTCTTCCCATGGTCCACCGGATGAGTTTCCCAGAAGATTGGGATTCAGAGATGAATTTGGGGTCTTGTGACCTCAGTTTTCCCACATTCAGGATGATGGAGCAGCCAGCCAGTCCTGCACCCTCTGACTTGGGCTTTCATAGTGTCCTTTGTTCTGGCCTGGACTTAATTTAAAATTAGGAGTGAGAGGGTCTATGGAGTTGAAGCCTTCAGAACCTTGGAGAGTTCAAAATATAGACTGTTTGGCCTTCAGTAGGAGGGGATTTTTTAAAAGGCTTCGAATATTCCTAGGTTTTTACCCAAAGGACACAGAATCATTAATTCAAAGGGCACCTGCACCCCTATTTTTGTAGCAGCACTATTTACAATAGCTAAGCTTTGGAAACAACCCAAATGCCCAAAAATAGATGACTGGATCAAGAAGATGTGGTACGTATACACCATGGAATATTACTCAGCAATCAAAAAAGATAAACACATACAATTTGCAGCAACATGGATGGAGCTGGAAGGGATCATGCTCAGCGAAATAAGCCAAAAAGAAAAAGTACCGGATGGTCTCACTCATAGCAAGAATCTAGAAAACCTAAATAAGGGACCAGGATAAAGACTAATTATAATAAAGTAGAAATCAAAATGAACAGACAACTATAAACCAGAGACACACTATGGGGTGGGGGGTGGAGGGTAGGAGAAATTATGGTCAAAATAAAGGGAGGTGGGAATTGTATGGGGGCTATAACCAAGATGAAAATGCATACATTGTGCAAAAATGAAAAATCATGTAAAAAAATATATAAAATTAAAAAAGTAAAAAAAGGCTTTGAACAACAAAACACCTATAAGACCTTTCAGTGGGATAAGGAGGCTTATGGAAGAGAGCAGGGCTCTAGCCTGGTAGCCCCAGCCTAAAAGATGGGCATGAGTGAAGTGTGAAAGAAGCAGAGAAATGACCCAAGAACTAAATACAGGAAGGGACTTTGCATATTATTACTGGTAGTTCAGAAAAGTCCTAGTAGCTTTTTGAGGGAAGAGATTTTGCTGCCAAGGAAATCAGAAGCCAAAACTGAAAAAGACTTTATTCTAGCTGTCAAACAACTATACACATACACAGCTATGTATGTATGTATGTGTATGTATCTACATATGTATATGTGGATATATGTTCATCTCTGCTAGCTCCTTTTCACATACATGTTTTTTGAAATATATATATATATATATGAAATATGTAATATATTACTTGGAAAAGAGCTAATGGTAACAGTATCATAAACAATGTCACAGAGGTAAAAATAAACTTGATAGAAAGTGCAAGCTAGAATAAAAAGCTTCCATGCCAGTATTCAAGAATTTAGGATGCCCCCATCTCCCACTGAAGATCTCCCTTCGCCCTACCCTCACCATGGGCGACTCAGTGATGACCATGAAAAGGCCGCAGAATGACCTCTCATCAACCCCTCTTCATTAATATCATCAGCAATCAGTTGATGATCTGTGTGTGTGTCTGTGTCTGTGTGTTAAGGGAGGTGGTTTGACATGGGGAACTAGATTAGTAGTTTTCAAAATCTATTCCTTAAAATGCTGAACAGTGTGTAGTTGGAAAGGAGATAAGGACACTCTTTACTCAGATGTTTTGAAAATCACAGTTCCATCTTTATATACTTTGCAGCTCTGACAGTCTATGAAACAGATAGTGTTTTTGAAACTAATTCTTTTATACTCTTCCCACTAAGAGGTGGGGTCTATGTTCCCTAGCCTTGAGTCTGGGAGCATTTAAGCCATCACCTAAACTATTCACAGTGGGGGTTGGGGGTGGGGAGGTTTCCATCTGATCTAAACTCCTGCTGTTTGAGTTCTCCCAGCCCAGACACCAGCCACTGAGGGATGGCCTTGAAGTGACCCCAACGCTTCATCCACCTGTGAAAATGTAAAGAACTCTAAGCAAGAACTGCCTGTCTGAGACCAGCCAACCCCCATATTCAAAGGCAATTGTTATTAAGTCACTATTTCCAGATGGGAGGTTATAACAGATTACTAGGTTATCTATTAGGTATTCAGTATTATTATTCTAGGAATATTTAGAATTCTATTTTTCTGCTAATCTTCTATTATTCTCTTCCATTCTGGGTTTTAGAAAAGCCAAGACGATTTAAAGTAGAGAAGGGGTTTTTAGACCATTTAAATGATCAGTTCAAGTTTAGACCACTTCTGGATGCGAGTCCTGGGGATGCTGACTGAAAGCAAAAAATGTGGAAATCCCTGAATCTCTATTCTTGATATCTCTACTTCCTTCCTTTTTCTACATAAAGAGTTTTACTTTGAAAAAACCAAAGCTTCATAGCAGCAATGGGTGACATTCTGTGGCCTTCAAGGAGCAGATTTTACTTCACCTACACTTCTGATGCTAAATGGCCTGGAAACAGGCCAGTTTCAATTCTAATTTCTTTTTTCATTTTACAAAGCAGGACAATGACTCATGAGCTGAAATGCGGTATCCTGTGATTCATTCACAAAACAACCCCAGTTTCTATAAAAGTCAGTGACTGAGCCATCAGGCAGAGGGGCTGAGACAAACTGGGACACTGGTCATTCTCAGGCTGCTGCTGCCATCCTCTCTCACCCTCCAGCATGAAGGCCTCCGCAACCCTCCTGTGCCTGCTGCTCACAGCTGCTGCCCTCAGCACCCAGCTGCTCGCCCAGCCAGGTAAGCCCTTTTCTCTGCCCCTTTAAACGCCTCCCCTCATCTCTGGGTTAGCAGGGGCCACCAGAGCAGAAGGGGTACCCACAGTCTCACTCTGACCACTGCTTAGTCAAGCTCAGAGAAGGTCAGAGAAGCATGTGAGCTGATAACACAGCTGCTGCTGGGCAGTCTGGACAAGAATGCAGGCTGTGCATCCCAAATCCTGTTTCTTCCAGGACTCCAACTCTGCGAGTGCACCTCAGTGCATATTCTGGGCTGGCCCCTTTCAGCAGTCTTTGGGCACTGGAGTGATCAAAGACAGGGACCCTGTGGTAGTGGGTGTGGGGGGCATTTCCTGCAATGGTGGAAGGACAAGGAAGAGACCAGAATCTGGACAGCACTTCATTCAGTCCAGCTTCCAGAGACCTGGCTCTGCAGAGGCAGTGGGTATCAGGGAACTTTTTGTCCAAGTTAGATTGCTCAGAGCCCAAAAGGGCGTCCACAGCTGGGCCCCTTTGTCCTAATAGAATATTAGGTTATTCTATTAGCCCTTCCTAACAACACCCTAGGACCAACTAAAGCAGTTCCTCTCTCCCTGTCATTACCTGTCATTGTTGTTTTTTTTTTTTTTTTTTTTTTTTTTTTACCATGAATGAGACAGAGAGTTCATGAAAAGCCACCAAGGAGGGACACTGGACTTGGGGTGGGCTGTCTCCCTTCCCTTTGATTCCTCCTGTTCATTGTTGTCTACTTTATAAATAGAAACACCCAGCAGAAACCTGAAAGGGCATTTTTGGTTGTTTCATTGCAGTTGGAATAAGTAGAAACACCTGCTGCTATGATTTCACTAGCAAGAAGATCCCGAAGCTGAAGCTGGTGAGCTATGTCAGAATCACCAGCAGCCAGTGTCCCAAGGAAGCTGTGATGTAAGTAGACAATGATCATTCACACTGTCCATGCTCTGGAGTCTTTCCCTCCAGCAGGGGATACCATTTTTTATCAGGATGAGTTGGAGTCAGAGACCCATGTGTTTAGACCACCTCTAGCCCAATCCCAGAAATTTCTTTTTCTCCCAGAAAAAGTGAATTCAAGAAAACAGAGACCTCTCACTCCCAGCATTCCAGCCAGCTCTTGGTTCAGTTTCAGTTCCGTCCAGGAGCCAAGAAGGCTTCACCCTTGCCAGTCAAGCAGCTGTTTCCCCTGAGGTGCCTTCCTCTTCCACCCTGTGGGCAGCCCCATTACACCACGTTAATGTGGGGGCATTAGTCCATAAGTAGGTGATATTCCCAGGTTTAATTTTCCAGGTGCTCTCTCTAACTGTGTGCCTCCTCTGCGCAGATTCAAGACCAGACGGGGCAAGGAGATCTGTGCTAACCCCGAGCATGATTGGGTCCTGGATTCCATAAATCACCTGGACAAGAAAACCCAAACTCTGAAGCCTTGACCTCTCACTCCTGCACTGAAGTCAAGCCCGGACCTGAGAAACAACTAATTTATATTCCCTATTCTTTTCAAGATATATTCAGAATTTATTTATTATAATTTTAAGGAATATATATTTTATTATAATTTTGAGTTTTGTGTAATAATGTGACTAATCATATTTCTTAGGTGGCATTTTATCTTTCTTAGAAATTGTTCAATAGTTTCATTTAATGTCCCATGGAACCATTGGCTTTGAATGCTAATCCTGGAGTCACAGAGCAATCCTTCAACACTTGGACATATATCACTCAGTCCCCTAAAAACTGCAGAAGTCTCCTCTCTGTACTACCTCACTGTGATATTGAGAGGTCCTGGTAAAAACCAAAGCAAACACGTATTTTTAATTCTGAGGAGATGATGTCCCTATGAAACCATAATGTTATTTTGGTTATTTTGGGATTGAATGCTTTTATATGTATGACTTTCCAGTTTTCACATAAAATATTGTTTTTATAAAACCTGATTTTGGTGGCTTCTTAAAAGGGTAAGATAAATCTGTTGGGATAATAGAGGGAGATGGCTTATAAAAGGTGGGGCTCATGTTCTATAACAGAAAAAAGACTGTATGATGGCCCCTGGGCTTGCTCCAGGCTGGGCTCACCCACAGGTCAAGCAGAGTCAGGTAGGTTGGGGAGGACTTAGCCAGCCCCACTGCTGCAGGCCTGACATTATTGTCATTTTTTGGAGTAAAATTTGGAGTGCGGGGCTCGTGGGTTCATGCTGGGAAAGGTTTCACCAGAGGTCCCCTTTCAGCAGCAGGCACAGCTGAACTTTATCGAGTTTCTCCATGAGACAGAGATGTTAGTTACATTTAAAGAACAGGTTATTTTGAAAAGGAAGACACTTGCATGGACACAAGCGAGCAAGAAGAGCTGCCCCTTTGTGGGGACAGTTTAGGTTTTATCTTCTTTTGGTAGGGAGGGGCTCATCTTTGTGAGCTGTCAGTTGGTTGCTGATTTTGGGTAACTTTTGAATCTGACAGGGACCAGAGATTCCACAATGCACTCAATCTCCTATCTTTACCTCTGGGTCTGCTCTCTAGATGCTCCCTACAGCAGTCTGATACCTGTTGGATCTTATGCTTTATAATCTAGGCATTGGCACCTAAGGATCTTGGTTTCTATAGCTGGGTCAATGGCTATGTTGATTGCTTTCACCATCATTTCCAGCTCTTGGCATTGTGTGAGCCTGATTTCTGGTCTTACGGCGCCTCCTTGCCAGTTTTTCTATTCTTATTCTTCATCAACATCAGCTCCAGTCACTTGCTTAAATACCTTCTCCTTCTCACCACCCCATGTCCCACCAAATTAGTCCTCCCCCCATCTATTGAAAATGAAACTGGTTTATTTTTCCCTCTTTTAGTCAACTCTAAATCCAAAATAATACAAACATCACTTGCATTGAGAAATCAGAGAAGAGGCCAACATCTGAATCCTTGCAAGTCCCCTTTCACATTGGGAACCACGTGTCTTGAAAAAATTCTCTCTCTACAGTTTGAGGAATAATACCGAGCCTGAGAATCCGTATCCAAGGCAAGGTACTGACAAACCCTTGGTAACTGCAAGCTGACCTTCTTGCAGAGGATTTATATCAAGGTGCCAGGAGAAATGAGGCACTGTAGTGGTGATGTCGTTTTTGGAGTCTGTGGGTTTGGAGCGCGGGGTCCTTGGGTTCGTTATGGGAAAGCTTTCATTATAGCTCCCCTTTCAGCAGCACCAGGCGAGTTTCTCCACGAGACAGAGATGCTAGTTATTTTTAAAGAACAGGTTTATTAGGGGAAGGGACAGAAGAATAAAGGACAGTTGCATAGACACAAGTGGGCAGGAAGAGCTGCCCTGAAAGAGACAGGTTTGTTGAGAGAGGCCTGCATGGTCGCAGGATGGTGGCCTTGAGGAGAGCGGCCTCCACTGAGGGAGGTCAGTGAGGAGAAGCCCTGGCAGGTACAAGTCACGGGCAGGTAGGAGGTTGCTGCCCTGCAGAGGGACAGAGTTAGTGAAAAGAGGCACCTGCATACGCACAGGTGAGCAGAGGGACTGCTGCCCAGTGCCAGTGCTGTGACTGCACTGATAATAGAATTCTTCTGTTTGGGAGGGGCTTTCTCCTTGGGGGTCTTCAGTTAGTTGCTGATTTTGGATAACTATGCAGAATCTGAAAGGGACTGGGGATTCTGCAATTGGCTCAATCTCCGTATCTTTACCTTGGGGTCTGTGCTCTACACACTCCCTACAGCGGTCTGATTCCTGCTTGGATCTTATGCTTTGTAATCTAGGTATTGGAGCCCAAGGATCTTGGTTTCTATAGCTGGGTCAATGGCTATGCTAATCACTTCTACCCCCACCTCCAGCTCTTGCATTGTGTGAGTCTGGTTTCTGGTCTTGTGGCACGTTCTTTCCAGTTTTTCTATTCTTGTCCTCCATCAGTGGCAAGTAGAAATTTGCTCACTGCCACTGATGAAGGTTACATGCAGAAAAGTTGGAAGGAGGCATCACAAGATCAGAAACCTGGCTCATGCAATGCCAAGAGCTGGGGGTGGGGGTATAGGTGATTAACATAGTCATTTAACCAGCTATAGAAATGTTATAGAGAGTATCAGGAGGCACAGACCAGAGGTGGGGATATGGAGATAGAGAGTCATTCTAGAGAATCACTGGCGCTTACAAATCAACCTAGTCATCCTCTAAAAGGGCTGAACCCACCACAAAGGAAAGAAGATGCAGAGATTGAGGACCATTGGAGAATCCCTGGTCCTTTTCAAATCCTGTAGTTATTCAAAATTAACAAAAGTTAATAATTCCACAAAGGAATGAGGCCTCCCAAAGGATACCTTATCAGGGCAATTTCTGCACTGGCAAGTGATGCAGTTACAAATGACTGGTCTCTCAGATAAACATTAACAAGTTTGTCTTTCCCCTATTTCTTGCAATTTCCCACCTTGTTTGACAGGTTTGTCTTCTTGCATTCCAAGGAAAAGGGAGTTAAACAGCAGTTATTAAAAAAAAAAAAAAAAAGCAAGATGGTGGGCATCCCCGGTGGCGCAGCTGGTTGAGTGCTGCACTGTAAAGCTATCTGCAGCCTCTGTGTGGAGCCTGTGTGTAACGGCCATTCTAAAATAAAAGTACTCTTAGCCATTGCTTCGCCATTTTGTGTGTTTCTGCCATTTTAGTATTTTAGGTTTCGCATTAATGACAAACTGCATTCCAGAGATAGTTTCGACAGTTTCAACCCTCACCCCACCCTATCTCCGGTGGCCAGTAGTGGCAGAATCAGACCATCCCTGGCTGCCAATGAGGGCGACCTAGCCATATATGGGGCTGCATCTCTACCCAACCAATTAGCTTAAGACTATATCCATGTGCGCCAAAGTTGGAAAATGCATCCTTGTAGCCAATGAGTGACTGCCAGCATGATTTAATTTTTTGAAACTGTCTGTAACCCTATAAAAAATCCCCATTCCCTGAGTTCGGGGCTCTTGATATCCAACGCTGCGTCGGTGCTTGTCGGGGGCCCAGACTCGAGTCTGCAATAAACTCCCTTTTTGTTCTTGCAGCAGTTGTCCTTGATCTCTTGGGGAACTCGTTGTTCGATCTTTAGGCACAACACTCTGCAGTGCGGGTTCCATTCCCGGCCAGCCAGGGAGCAACCCACATGGTGCAGCAGACCTCTCTTGTCTCGCCCACTGCTCCATTCAGCAGTGTATTTCAGTCAGTCTGCCTGTTTTTTGTTGTTTTTTTTTTAAGATGTATTTATTTATTTATACAAGAACCGCGGTACAGGCCAGATGTATGGGAGGGTGAGAGGGTTTACCAGAGGCAGAACAGGGAGCAGAACAGGCAGACTGACGAAATACATTGCTGAGGGGAGCAGCGGGCGAGACAGGAGAGGTCTGCTGCACCATGTGGGACCCTCACCGGTGGCCGGGGATAGAGCCAGCACTGCAGAGGCTGCGGGCATCTTCACAGAGCAGCGCCCATTCACCTGCGCCACCAGAGGAAGCCCCTTCTGCCTGTTCTGTTCCCAGCTCTGTCTCTGGTGAATCCTCTCACCCTCCCGCTCCTCTGACCTTTACCCCGGTTCTTGTATAAATAAATAATTAAAAAAAAAAAGCAAGCTGGTACCCACCAGTCCCCATGCAGACCCCTCCCCCTCCCCTTTGCAGACCCTTGCCCATCACCCCCTTTTTTCCTCCTTTGTATAAATACCCCTGCATTCTGCCAAAGAGCAGGAGAGTGGTATTTCAGAAATGAGTCTGCTGCCCTTCTCATTTGTTGACAAATTTAACCACTTTCCTTTTCCTCAAACTGTTTCCTTTCATCGGCTGAGGCCAGCATTTGTTATCAATTTGGCAGGCCAGTGCCAGGAGCTGGATGCCACTGCAGCTCTCCCAGCCCCAACTCTGACTTTCAAGGGATTGAGCAGTTGACCGAGGCAGCGCTCGCTCTAGGGCTTACTGTCCACGCTGTCAGAGAGGGGCCTGGGCATGCCGGGTGGGATCCTGACCACCCTGCTGAGAGGGAACGCCCTCTCTCCCTCTGGGAGGATGAGGGAGAGTCCCTGCAGCTGCTGGAGTTTTCATCTGGGGAACTTCCCAAGTCCTCCTCCGGAGAGGCAGAGCTCTTCTCTGCCCCATGGATTCACCTTTGAGGAAATGGAAGCTGGATGGAAACGTGGTAACCTGGCGTTTGTGTAAGTTTCCCCAGCATGCACACAGAGACCCTCAACTTCACACATTTCGGAGGGATCTGAGTTTCCCTCAGGGAGGGAGTCCACTTCCCCTCAATTTGGGAGGGAGTCTATGAGTCTCCCTCACTTCAGGGCGCCTTGGTGTGTTAGGCTTTGTTGAGTGGGAATTGGGAAACATTTGGTATTTTTTTTTAAATCTGGTATCTGGAGTTTTTGGAAGCCAGGGATTTGGTTAAAAATTATGAGAGGTACTGTATTTGTTTCATCTGAAAGCCCCTTGGGGAGAATTTTTTTTTTAATTATATCCCTATATTTTATGCATTTGTGCATTT